GATGAGAATCTTCGAGCAGGATAGAAATTTTTCGCTAAATGAACAGAAATTCTAGTAATGAATGTGTGTAATGCACACGTGAAGGCAAAAAAGAAACATATTTAATATGCTTGGGATTTTATTCAAGTAACAGGTCTAGATGAAATTTTAAGGGGTTTTGAGAACAAAATTCAAAATTCAATGATGGCAAGATAAAAAGGTTTTGAGGAATGAATTTTCAGAATTTCCATACCAACATTGGAATTAAATTTTTACTGGTGAATGGGCAGATTAAGTCTCTGACAGTGAATATACCAGAAGGTTGTAGGAGGAGGCAGCAGTCTTGCCAACCTGACTGAATACCAAAAAGGTACCGCCATAATGTAAGACAGGCTCTCCGGACCAATCTGATTGGTCACGCTTCTGATCATCCTGATAGAGTCAAAGCTTGGCTGCCTCATCTTGCTTCATATGAACTAGTAAAGCAACCCAGCTTTGTGATGAGCCAATAGAAATGTATAGAAGGCAGGAGAAAGTAGGCATTTACCAGGAAATATTGTAGCTTTGCTGATCAGATCATCCCAGGATTCAAGCATATATTTGGCACCTCTAGGGTTTATGGTGCTGCTCAGACACATGCATTCAAATGGAAAATGAAGAATTTGGAAAGAAAAGGTTTGTATGTCCTGCTTTGCCTTTAGTTCAAAAACATCTCAACCATGTTCCCTTTGAATACCTATCATTTGCAAGGGAAATTAAATGTTACTAAACACAGGACCCTGCATTCACTACATCTGGTCTCCCAGAGTACACAAAACATGAGAGTGCAATGATTTTAGTAAATGTAAACTGCTAAATACCTTTTCTTATCAACAGTTAGAGCAGTCTTGTGACTTCAGCAGAGCACTGGTTAAAACTTGTAGGAGGAGTTTTCTTTCTGCTCTAGGAGAATGCAAAACCCCTGACCTCTGTCTGGACAGTATTGATTTGCCCTGTGCTGATCACATGCACTCTCCCAAGAAAAAAAAAACCTATCTAGCAATATACACAAAAACTGAGTATGTACAGAAGGGCTCCAGGTTCAGTCTGTCTTACCAGCGTGGACATTTGAACAAGAGGAGGGGCAGAGAAGTCAAGATCAAACAGCCTTTTTACACAATGCAGAGGATTAACCCCTTTAACTTCCACAGTGAATATAACAAGCATGCTTTACTGCATATACAGACTGATTTTACTGTGGTGGGTTCAGTAACACTTTAAGCATTTGTGTGTATGCATGGGGAGGGGTAGGTGTGCAATTATTTATTTATTTATTTTTTTTTTATTATTTTTATTTATTTTATTGAAACTTAATTATTTACACTTTTTTTTTTTCATTTAACTGTATTTCTATATAGCTAATTGTGTTGCAGACGTTTTAAGAAAACAGGGTTTTTGCTAGCATATAATTGGAAGATTGAAATGAACACATCTTCACCTCATTTGCTAAGATAAGTGCACATACATTTTTAAAAGGGAGCATGCTCTATTTCTTTAGTAAATCAGTCCCACTCTGTTTACATACATTCAATAGGTAAAAGTATTGCAATTGTTTATGGCCCCCAAGCTGCTAAGGATGAGTGTACATCTTGGAGCGGGTCTGCCCAGTTCAGACTGAGTGGCGGCTCCTATCACCGACGTCATGGAACATCCACAGGTGGAGGCAGTTAGCAGTGATTCAGGAGAGTAATGGGGGTGTCCTACACACAGCTAAAAGTCATTTTGGCTGGTGATGAAACCTTGTTTTAAGTTCGGTGGGACCCACAGTGGTTGGCACTTTACCTCTATATACAGTTGTGTTTTAAAAGTTTGCATAACCTGGCAGAAATTGTAAAATGTTGGCATTGATATTAAAAATATGACAAATCATGCCCAAAAATTGTCATTTATTTAAGGATAGTAATCATATGAAGCCATTTATTATCACATAGTTGTTTGGCTCCTTTTGCGACCACAACTGCCTGAAGAATTGTTCGAGATACAAACTAAAGCCCACTGGCACAGTAAAGGCTTCTTTCTGGCAACTCGACCGTGCAGATATTTTTTGTTCAAGTATCATCGTATTGTGCTCCTTAAAACAACCACACTGTCTTTTTGCAGAGCAGTCTGTATTTCTCCTGAGGTTACCTGTGGGTTTTTCTTTGTATCCCAAACAATTTTTCTGGTTGCTGTGGCTGTAATCTTTCTTGGTCTATCTGACCTTTGCTTGGTATCAAGAGATCCCAGAACTTTCCACTCTTAATAAGTGCTTGAACAGTACTGACTGGCATATACAGGTCTTTGTATATATTTTTATATCCCTTTCCATCTTTATAAAGTTCATTACCTTGTACTGCAGGTCTTTTGACAGTTCCTTTCTGCTCCCCATGGTTCAGTATCTAGCCTGCTCAGTGCATCCATGTGAGAGCTAACAAACTCACTGACTATTTATACACAGACACTAATTGCAAACTGAAAAGCTGCAGATGTGGGAAATTAACCTTTGATTGTCATTTTAACCTTTGTGTGTCACCTTTGTGCCAAGGCCAAACATTCCAGGGTATGCAAACTTTTGATCAGGGCTATTTGGGTGATTTTTTCCTCTCCGAGTTCCTGGTAATCTTTCCCTCCCCCACCCTGGTTTGTTGCACTTTCAGGTAATTGTGAATATCATGTGATATGCATGTAATGATGCTGTAATGCATTGCGAATGTAACTAATATGATGTAATATAATATATATTTTTATATCTAGAAATGTTCACTTATCTCAATTATAGCTCTTGATGAAGTGGATATACTCCAAGAAACCCGTCATGCTCGTGAAAAGAAACATATATATGTGCTAATATATGTATATATAATGTTGTTTAAAAGTGCATTCATTGTAATTTTGGTATAAGTGATAAGCGACCTTGTTCTTATGTGAATAACATTTTTATATGATGGAGTCGGAAAATTCTTTTTTAAAAAAAAGTCTTTTTGGATGTATCATAAACTTTACATTTTTTAAACTATCAGTTTATGTTGTGCCTCTAATAGTACCGCCATATCAGATGAATATAGAGTTTTAACAAGAGTAATGCGACCTCATATTTCCAACAACAGATTGCTCATGTGACTGATGTCTTAAACATTACATACTGATTAAAGCATATATCATTACAACACAGTAAATAAAAATGTAGGCTTTATATGACATTCATATTATCCATAGAAACAAACTATGTTTTACATCACACTGCTTTACCTTTAACTATAAAAACAGAGTTTTTATATGTTACTTATTCATCACAGTGGTTCACCTTTAAACATGTAACGGTATTCTTGTTTTCCCATTCACCAGCAAGCTGCTCATATCATCTAAACATTTTTGCAAAGTCATGATCATTTGCTAATAATAATCAATTATATTGCCCTGCTATCACTATTTGAATACTGAGAAAAAAATTTACGATCATTAGTTAAACAATAGAAACGAATGTACAGCCTGTATGGGTGTGCTCAAGGAAGTATTATTGCGCAAACAGGGAAAGCTGAATAATGCAATTAATTCTAGATGAAACTGTGCAGCTAAATAGCATAGAAGAAGAGACACGTTGTACTGAAAAATACTATCACAGTGATTCTCTAAGCCTGTAATTTGCCATTGTAAAATTATACCAACCATATAACTAATATCGATTTCATGATGAACTTTTTTTTATAAAGGTGTTTGTAAGCAGGTGCGTAATGAGGTATCACTATGTTGGTTGTGTTAATTATTTTCTGGGAAGGTATTTAGTCTCTCCTCCACTATTACACTTTGCATCAGTGTTTTGTTTTGCTGTGCTAAGTCAGATGCTGCTGCCATTTTCCTGCTCCTGATCTAGCTCTTGCCCTGCACTTTGCTGCCTTATATCTGCTCCCCTTTTTCCTGATCTCAGTCCTGGTTCCCACATGGTATTCCCTGTGACCTGTGTTCTTCATCTTATATATATACAGTAGTTGGTAGACTTCCTGTTACTTGGTTAGGCATTGTGGTTATATGGTTGTAGTTCACTTGTATCTTCACATTTGCTTGTTTCCTGTTTGCTTGTGTCTGGATGTCTTTTGGATTTTTTATTAATAAATTAACTTTACAATACCTAGTCTAGTCTAAGTTTCTAAGTCTAGCCACTCAAAAATCTGGCCATCTGTTGGATTTTAGACACATATAATACTTCTTTTAGTGTCTTGAGGCGATTATGAATGAAAGAGCCGTTGAAATAAAAAAATAAAGTATGATTTTATTTTATCACACAATGGCTTAAAATAACAATGTAAAGCATATCATGAACAGTTCCATGTAGGTAAAACTAGAAATATCAAGCAGACTTTAAAGAAAAGTCACCATTATTGTCATGGTTGTCCAGCCATATGCTGTTCTGTCCTTCATGTGATCTTGTCTCGTTTCAACTCAGCTGAGTCCGAGTAAGAAGACGGAAGTGACGTTAATGTCTATTTCTTGTCTTGTAGCACCTGTTCCAGTTTCTCAGAAAGTCCTTATGAACAGCCATTTGTGTGTGTGTTAGAGTGTATGAATGTGTTTGTGTCCGTTGTCTCATGTCTCATGGTCTTTTATGAGGCAAGTACGCGTCATAGCTTGGGATTCTTAAGACCTTGTATGGAAATCAGTACTGCTTACCAGAGCAATTTCATAGAAGGGAGGGGACGCCACACACGATATTTTTGATGGACCAGTACATATGTTGATGATGTAACCTCAACTATCATATTTAAATGATAATATAACTTAGGAAAGTATCTTTACAACATATCAATGTATAATCACTAATCTATATATGTATCAATATTAGCAACTTATAAATCATACTGAATACACACAGATACTATTAAAATACATTAAGTAATAATGAGTCACTTCCAGGGGCGGACTGACCATTAGGAAACTCGGGCACTGCCTGAGGGCCCGGGGTCAGTATGAGTATGGGGCCCCATGAGATGCCCCTGGTACCTTTTTTGTAGGCTTTTTTGAGTTTGGGCAAGGACACAAGGGCCCCATGATCCCTATTGCCCGGGGCCGCATGAGTTGTCAGTCCGCCCCTGGTCACTTCTAATACCCTTGACATTTACTACCAGAGTCATCTAACCAGCTATGCCTTATTATAGAATACTCAGCCTCAGCTGGTTCAGCTAGTCTCAGCTTAACTCCTGTCTTATTTTACTGTCTCAGTTTATTTTACTGAAGAATTAAATAATATCATCGGCTTAAGGCGAACATTCAAACATTTTAATATTAATTATGATTAATCATAAAAAACAAATATTTTGCAAGCTTGCCATCAATATAAAGTGCCGAATCTGTTGCTGATTCTGGACACATAGACCCTTGCCTTACAAAAGACTGCTTAAAGCGGACTCCACCCAAAAGGGGAAGTTCCGCATTAAGCTTTTGTCCCCTGCTCCCGATTAAGGATTGGCACCTTTGGGGAGCAGGGGAGGGGGAGCGAGTATCCAAATTTGACAGGTACCCGCTTCCACTTCTGCTGCAATCGTCTAGGTGATTGGAAGCGGAAGTTGTCCTCCCCCCTCCCTCCCCATAGTCTTCTGGGACATGTGACAGGTCCCAGACAGTCCTAACAATTCCCTGACTGTGCAAGTCTACAAAGTGTGCAAGTCTAAGAACTGATGCTGGTTTGAAGCCAAGGGGTAGTCACACCAAATATTGATTTTAATTAGATTTTTCTGTTCACTCAATTTGCATTTTGTAAATTGTTTAAAATAAACAATTAAAATGTATTTTCAAAATCATTCTTATATTACAGCATTTCTTCATGCCTGCCTAAAATATTTACACGGTGCTGTATGTGTTACCCAAGCAGCAACAGATTACAGTACAAACCCTCACACACATGTGCCTCACTATACTATGACAAACTTGTGAGCATGAGCAGTCTTTATACTAATAAACACACCATGGCTATATTTACACATTTAAAGAGGTTCCCAAATGTATTTGGCCTCCCACCCCCTTTTCAGGAAAAAAAAACTACTCAGCGCCCCCCCTGAAAATTATTATTATGATTATACAGTGTTTATATAGCGCCAAAAAGTTTGCTCAGCGCTGTACAATATAGTGGGGGACAGTACATGAGACAATACAGTAACAAAACAATATACGAGAGGTTCGAGGGCCCTGCTCTTTCAAGCTTACAATCTAGGAGGGAGGGGAGAGTGGTACAGGAGGAAGTGGCTGTGGGGGATGGAGTGGTAGGAGGAGTGGAGGAGATCAGCTGTTAGGTGAGGGCGGGGTAGGCTTCCCTGAAGAGATGGGTTTTCAGGGTGCGCCTAAAGGTGAGGAGGGTAGGTGACAGTCTGATGGATTGGGGTAGTGAGTTCGAGGATGGGGGAAGTCCTGGAGAAGTCCTACAGCCAGGTGTGGGAGGAGGAGACCAGGGAGCTAGAAAGTAGGAGGTCTTGTGAGGAGCGAAGAGTACGGGTTGGGTGGTATTTGGGTATCAGGTCAGTGAGGTAGTTTGGCGCAGCGTTGTAAATAGCTTTGTACGTCAATCAAGGGGTACCGCCCCTTGATGACGCCGGTGTGACGAAACCGGTTGGGCGTAGCCTACTCGATGTGGACGTTAGAGAGCCTTGCTGTTCTGTGCTGTATGGGAGAGATCTGCGGTGAGCGTTAACTGTATCTCAACCCTTTTTTGCGATTGAAGCTGGTGTCTGTTGGACACCTTGTTTGTGAGTTTCCTTATACCTTTTTTATTAAAGAGATAAATGAAAAAAAAAACGTATTGCACCATTATGTTCTCTTTTTTGTCCCTGAGTGTACTGCATGCTCTCATGGAGGTATGAGAAAGAGTGGAGAAGTTCATCATAAGAGCTTGGGCTGCAAAGTTGTTTGTCTGTGATTATTTTTATCTGGAAGTATCTGAAACATCACCATATCTAATTTGGACATCGGGTTCATTGCTCCCAGAGCACAAGCGCTGTTGCTGGTTTATTATCTGACCAGCCATTAGCTCTGGTGAGTTCATTTAATCTCCTTTGGTGGTGGATTTCTCACAATTGGTTCAAGTCACTGAAGATATATATATATATTTTGGACACTAATTTATGTTTGGACACTATAATTTATTTAAAACACTAATGTTTTTTGGATGATGATATACACTTTTGTATAAGTTTGTTATTAGTGCATACCTTTTAATTCGTATTATTGTTGCTAAAATTTATTTTGGGTGGGATATGCTGCTGACATTTTGGTGTTTTTTGTAAGTGGCGCTTTTTTCTTTTTTAATTTGGTATAGATGTGGGACGCTTCAAATATTGTGGATGTCACAGTGTCCCCTTAAGTGTATTGGAATGTTTACTATGTATTTTCACAGCTCTGTGTAGTTTTCCATGTAACTTCTTGGATGGCGCGCTGGTGTCACCAGTTCTGCCCCTTACGCGCTATGTCACTGTCACATGGCTTCATCGGTGGGATGGGAGTGCTGTGAAGTCTACCAGGATATATAATCTGGCATGTTTGCCACGAGGCAAACAAGGCATGTGTCTTGGGGGGAGCATTTTTCAGGGGAGGCAGCGCCGCCCCCTGGAAGAAGGGATGCTGGTTGTCCTGCATCACGCTGAGGAGGCTTCAATGGGAACTGGGGCTGGGCAGCAGACGGAGTGAGGGATGTCGGGGGAGTGGCCATGAGACTCCAGGAAGGCAGTCAGGATTCCAGAGAGCTGTGATGGTGAGTCTCCTTCTCACCTGGAGGGGGCGCAAGTGGGGGAGCTGGTGGGCGTTCAGGGGGTCCGCGACAGATTTTTTTGTATTGCCTAGGGCAGCACAAAACCTAAATACACCACTGGTCCCTGTTGTCATGTAGTCATAGTAATCTTCCCCTTGCTGTCTGCATACCGCTTTACTGCGATAGACCTTTTCACTTTGCATACACATGCGTTAACTATGATGGACTCACTGCTCTCCAGTCTGTTTGATGCCGATCTACATATACAGTTGTGGGGACCCCGACTGTCAACCACATAATATCCTAATAACCTATTTCAGTGATTTAACCCTTTCTATTGTTTGTCTCTGTAGTTGTTATCTGATTGTTTAAGCACTTTGTTGATTTAGTATCGTGATAATATACAAAAACATAAATCAACAAAGTGCTTAAATCCATGAATTCATGTAGAGGAATGCCTCTATATGAATTCCTGGTTTTAAGCACTTTGTTGATTTATGTTTTTTATATTATACCATATCATGTTTTATGTTTTTGATTACAGATATTGCTGTTAACAATAGACATTGAGGGTAAGACCTACATCTCAGATGCTGAGCAGGGTTGATCCTAGTTAATACTTGGATGGGAGACATTGGGGGAAAGATATTGGTGATACATAAGATTGTTTTTCATTACTATTTATTCTAGTTTTGGGTTTGTGAGCACTGCACTTGTTATAGACCTATATCTGTTGTGCCAAGTATCTAGGCATAGTGTCAGCAGCTAATATATGCATAGATTCATCTGAGCACACATATTGCACTTCGATTGTTATGTCTATATTAATGTCAAACTACCCTTTTGAATGTATGGATTCATAGAAGTGGCTGCCATTAAGGTTGCCATTTTACAAGTCTTCAGCCTCAAAAAGATCAAGGTATATTGCCATAACGGCTGAATATGTAAATTGGATGTGGTAAGTGATTGCAAGTCTGTGGTCAGTGGACATGCTTAGGAGAGGGAAGTTTGTCATTTCCTACTAGCACATTACCATATGTGAAACTTGGGTTTTAGAAGTCCCGGTGGTGTAGCCAGTACATTATTATAAGTTGCTAGAAACTGGCTGGTTGCTAAATGACATGGGAACTCAGCAGCTTAGCAGAGTGCCAAGCTGGTACATGTAGTTCTACTGATAGAGAGAGAGTAGAGAGACAAATTTACTTACTAGTCTTTCTTTTCTTTTTCCCATGAGTCTCCGTAGGCTGTACTGAGTTACTATCACGCTATCCTTGTCTAAAAAACTACACTACATCTTCTAAGTTCATATGGGCTGGTAAGATAAGGGGAACGTGGAAAAGAAATAGCAGCTGATAAAGTCTTTGCTCTCTTTGCAGTTGAAATTTGTATAAAGTTACATTCACTGTTTTTTGCTGAGGCACTGCTGGCAATAATAATAATAATAATTAGAGCCATTAAGTCATTATTCAGAAAAATTGAAACAAAGTCTGCAGATGGCTAAGGAATGCATACCTCTTGCTTATGTGCCTCAGTAAAGGACCATAGATAGAGCTGACCTCTGTCATCCATTTGTAACTGAAACAATATGGAATATTAGGTGAAAGTATATTTCTCTGTTGTCATTTTTTAGTGATTTAAGTTTTGACAATTTGAAAGAATAAGAAGACAATAGAGAGTCACTGTATATGACTGGTAGAGCGCTATTATTGTATAAGAAGGGTGCCTCCTGTGTGACGGGAGAAGGGTTGTTGATCTAATAATATCTTCTGGGAGATCAAATGTAACATTACCCTTAGATTGTGCCATTCCTCTGTGTTTTGACTGAGTGGGAGGCAACACTAAAAGTATATAGCGAATTGGCACCCCTGTCAGGAATTTCCAGGACCAACCAGTTGGAGGAGACCACAGAGTGTCCTTTGTGGTGAGGGTTGGGAATTTCCAGACCAGAAAACAAGGGCTACCTAAGTTGCAGCTGGGTGGGGTAACAGATGTCTCACTGGTGTGGTTCCTATGGCGTAGATTGGTGAGCCCAGTTTCCCTGTCTGTACCTGCAGGTGAGGGATTCACAGGGTTATCTGCCAGCCATTGACCCCAGTACAGTGTTTGAGCCTAGCGCCAGCTGATTTAATCCGGAGAAATTAGTTGGATGGGGGTACTGATAAGATAACGTGGAGCTCCAAATCTCATTTTGGCCAAACTGGAGGTAATTAAAGTGGTTCAGTGCCTATGTGAAATGGTACAATCTTATTGTTTAACAGTTATATAGTGTAAGGAAAATCAACGCGTAGGAGAGTAAATAGTTATAAATATTATGCATAAATTAAGTACTAGAGTAAATAGGAAAATTAGGTTGATCAT